AAAAATAATCTTGGACTTTTTAATGTATCGATCGTGATTAAGTATATATATAAAGACCCACCAGAAGATGTAGTTAAAAGATTATTAGAGCTCGATGTGGAAGAATCAGTTCGAAAGAGAAAAATGGACATTATTCGCACGGCTATTAATTATGAATATGAACAATCGTGGAAAGTGGCAAAGAATTCAATATTATCTTTTAAGAAAGGTAAAATGATAAGGTGTGTGTTGGTCTCTGGTATTCCAGGCCGCTTTGATTTCGATCTAATGGAGAATTATTTTAAAAGTCAATGGAACATTTCAGTTCGACTAATTTGGCACGACAACAATTCAGTTGCTTTCCGCAGAGATGACGATGATCACGAGGTTATTAAGATCATTGAAACCTTTAACAGATCAACTGTCCAAACAAAATCAAGGGCAACTTTGTTTTCCATCCTCAGTAAAATGCCTGAAGAAAGGTCTGAAATTATGAATAAGACTTTATGGGATATTCTAAGAGGTGTCTACTAATTAGACGGAAATAGTATGAACGATAACAATGTTGAAGAGAGAGGCAAAAAAACATTAAAGATTTTATAATTAACATATCTGAAATAGTTCTAAATACAATTTCTTTCATTCAGAATATTAATAATTCATGAGCGATTTTTTAATAGAGTTAGAATGCATATTGATTAATTAGATCATTTTATTCGCTTTTCATTATAAAATCATTTCTCGGCCTGATTCCAAATCATAGCTGAATTAAATTTTCAATAAATTGACTCTTAAAAAGTTATAATGACTTTTTATTATGGAATCAAATTAATTAATGATATTTTATTATCAATTGTTGATGGGCGTTTGCTCAGATTATTTACAGGTTAATCATTGATACAGAAAATTAATTGTTTACTTTAATGATTCAATTGTTTCTATGCAATGATTAGAAAAGAATTAAACCTTTTTAACAATCTTTCTAATTAAAGAATCGAAGTGACATTGCACTGAACTAAAACGGGCATCTAATAGTTAAACTCCTACTTTGACGAAACCAAAACGCCCGCAATCGTAATCAACTCAAGGAGATAACCTGATAGCTACCGAATTGTTTCCAGAATTTTCTCTCGAATGAAAATTGAATGTTAATATTGCCAAATTATCAATAAAATGGAAACAAATTTTGTAAATTTTGAAGTGAAATTTCTAAAACTCAACTGATTATGATTACAATAACATTCAACCCGAAGTTAATATCAAAAGTTTGCGATATTTAAATTTGCCGGCACAAAATTATCTCATTTGATGATTAAAAAACAGTTAACTTATTTACTCAGGAAAACTTGTTCTTCATGAAATGAACAATACCAATTGATTGCTAAATGCCAATTCATGGGTAAAACAATAAGATTTACTTTTAGATTGCATTAAAAGTAAATCAATTGGGTCTCATTGTTTTACCCATGAATTGGCAACTTTATGGGCAACTGTCAAGTGTTTCTAACCAACGATTAGAAAACAATCATTTTAATTAAAGAATCAGAGTTGCCGTTACCGAGCTTTGATTGTGGCTTGCAAACACCCACCTTGGTTTAACCACAACCCTCACAATCGTAATCAACTCAACAATATATTTAATGGTTAATGTATCAATCATATTCTGCAGTCTCAGCAGTATGCATCTAATTACATGTTGACGTTACCTCAAGTAGCCATTTCATAGATTTCATTAATTATAATTAGATCAACACTTAAATAAACAAAATTAATAACATAAAGTACGACACTTCAATTTACCGCCTTAAAAATAACACTATTTGAACCCATTTGACTTGACAATTGAATTTAATTGATGACTCAAATAACAGTTAACTTATTTTTGCCCAAAAGCTAATTAAATTTGTAAATTTTGTGATCATTCAATTAAGTTTAACAACCATGACAAGATCATCTAGATCTCGATCTCGTTCTCGATCTCGTTCTCGAGCTCGATCTAAATTTAAACAACAATCAACTGTAATCAACATTTCATCAAGTATCAACATTAATTGTGGTGTTTATTGGGATATTGAAAATGTTAGTGTCCAATGTGGTCAATCAGCTGATCAGTTTATCAAATTGATTAGAGACAAATTGATTCGGCAGAAAGGATTAAAAGAGATTGAATTTATCTGTGCTTATGTACGTGGTAGAGTGACCGAACCCATCGAGCGTCAAATTAAATCTTCGGGAGTTAAGATCTATTATGTTAATGATCATAAAAATGCTGCTGATTTAAGGTTAATTCAATACATCAGACAATTTGTTAAACTTCATGGATTTGGTTGTAATATAATCTTGATTAGTGGTGATACAGATTTTGTTAAAGCTCTACTCCGATTCCGGATCCATTATAAAATTAAAATTTATCTAATTCATTGTAAGAATCAACGAAGTGATTTACTCGATGTAAGTGCTGATGAGCTTTACTTGCTTAATGATGGACACTTACGATTAGTAACTGAATCTTGTGACTTTGCCGTAATCAAAGTAACCTTATCACCCGAAGTCAATTATGTATCAACAATTGAAAGTGATTTAAAGTCAATGTTTGAACATCAAGGAGCAATTAAGGATTGTATCTATCTGGATGAAAATGACCCTAAGTGTCCTGGAATCGGCGTTTGGATTGGATTTCCCAGCAAAGAATTAGCTAAACACGTTGCTCGTGACAAATCGAATCAACCGTATCACAAATTACCTCTGGATGTTAGATATGTTCAATATCCTCCAAGTTTTATCATGAATAAACTGAAGAAACACAATGTTAGTACAGTTCGACAAGAGACATTAGATGTACTTAAAGTTCTAACCCCGAATTCATTTTCATTGGCTCGACGCTCCTCAATCATTTCGACCTTATCATTACCGTTTAAATCAAAATCAATCGCTTACTTAATTTTCACCGGGTTTCCTAATAGTTACTCCCAATTACAACGTCGTCATCATTTGAGCGCAATACTTGGTAAATCATACAGATCATTTTCGTCGGCTGGAGATTATGTCTCATTGGAAGTTCATCACGCTTACCAGGCGAAACATTTCACCGATAAAATCAACAATTCTAATCACAATGGACTTAAATTGTCGGCGACCATTAGCAAAGAACTACCGGAACAAACAACTGTAACAACTGTGCCAACTGTAACAAGAAAACCACCCCAACGACCCGTGAAATTAGCACCACAATCACAAGACACAATTTTCGTCGAGCCAACGTATTATTTCATGAGACCGACTGTTAAGCCTGTTGAGACTCATTCGCGTCATGATAATTGCTGCTGTTGTTGCTTTTTCAAGTTTATTTGCTTCATTCTCATAATTATTTTCATCATAGTGATTTTAACCAAGATTTTTTAAAATTTAACCTTGAAAAACAAACAATTAAACTAATCGACATAAAGATTTGCATAGAATTTGAATTTTTGATTGAATATTACGAGAAATCGTGCAGACGAAAATGAGGAAACAATTCAATTGATTAATCGTTCATGATGAACTAATCTTCCGGTTCGTGATGATGAAAACATAGACAATTCCAATCAAGAGTAAGTAGATAATTAAGAAAATGACATGAAAAAAGTTCTTACTACATGAGACTTTATGTTCACGATATTGATGAAAATCAGAATTCATGTGGATTAAATTAGTAAATCATTTCAAAGAGGGAGACTTAGTTTACTATCAAATATGATATGAACCAGTTAATTGATGAAACTTACTCTTAATTGCTCATGCAAATGATTTAATCAAAGTCCATGAAAAGTAAACCGTTTTCTCTGATTAATGAATTTTCCTCGATAATATTAATAGTTAACAAAGTTCACCAATCTCTAAATGGATTGATTGATATTCCAATTGAAGCAATAAGACCAAGGAATCGATTGTCAACTTGATTATTATGTTTATCAAAACAGCAATCAGATCCTAGATTAGAATAATTAACTTTGGTGTAGCATAATCATCGTCATGAGAGTAGTAAAAGGGTCTGATAATTAACAATAAGAATTGACTGTCGATGTTAATTCTTCCTGGTTGTGTTCGTAATCCAAATCCAAAAATAGATGAGAAACATTATCAGTTATGTGATTGAAATAATGAAGCAGAAATGATTGATTTCTAATCATGACCTGGACATTACAATAAAAATCATTACTGGATATTTATTCTGATTGTTTCATTTGATTGTGTCAATTTAATGTGTTTCCAAATCATCAACGATTCAACTATTATCTGAAATCTGAAGATGGAGCCATGAAGCAGATTAAATTGACAGAATCATTTGGAAATGTTATTAAAAGATATAAGTTAAGATAAACAAGTTGATTCCATTAGATGCAAAACAAACTCATGCGCTTCAAGATTGACTTCTAACAGGTCGTCGATTAAAAAATAGAGAAAATGAGAGAAAATGATGATAATGAATGATGATAAGGATGATGATTCGAGAGTAATTCATGTCTTTCATCATGAAATTACTCAATTGATTCTATTTCTAATCCGCGAAGAGATTGAATTACCATAGAAATGAGAATCAGTGAGATAACACAGCACATGAACAGCGAGCCAAATGTTATGAAACTCAATTCAGGTTTCCATAAATACCTAGAGGGAGGAAGAGAAAGGGAAGGTAGAGAAGATAAGGAAGACGAAGAAGATGAAGAAGATGATGATAATGGAGAAACAAGAAGATATGACATAACAGGGAGGTAGAAAAAGGGAGTCGATAAAATATTAGGTTAACGAGAGAGATTGAAAGGAAGAGAGAGAGAGAGAGAGTATGTGTGTGTAGGAGGAGGTGGAAGACAAGAAGAGGAAAATGATGATGACGAAAAGAAGGAGGAGAAAAAAAAGAAGACAAATGAAGACAGAAAAGGAAAGGAAAAGTGAGAGAAAAAATTGACTAAACAATGAGAGAGAGAGATGATGATGAGGATGATGAGTGAGATGAAGATTATAAGAAAATTAAAGCGTAGTCACCATCTTTTACTCAGTTGAAATGAGAATGAGAATCGTTAATTGTTCAGTGTTGATGGAGTAACAATAATCATCTAGTTGGATCAACATAGTAAACATATAAACACCAACTCCTAGAAACAACATCAACAAATGAGTGACTTTTTCATCAACATCATTAGAATAATAATTTCCTTGGCAGACATTAATTAACAGTGACAATAATATCAAACAATTAACAACAACAATCTATTTTATCAATATAAATATTTATCTGTGTCAAGTTAATTGTGATTATCCATTAACACTGAGCATCTTCAACAATCAACAGTTTAACAGAAAATCAACTTGTTGGATTTACATTTGATGGTTTTTTCTTGCTATTCTTATCAACATCTTCATCATTATCAACATCATCATGATTAAATTATCATGGAGTGTTTATCTTCATCAAGATACAACAATCAGTGTGAAATAAATTACTTTCATTCAATATTTAAAGCATAAAACTGAATCATTTAGACAACATCAACAATCAAGATAAACATAATCATCTGTTTGCAATTGCTTGTGAAACTTTTAATCAATTGTGATAATAACATTATATTGTTTATCATCAATTGTTTACATCTCTAAATCCAGTTAATTGTGAATATTAATCATCACAAAATTAAGTCAATAAGGTGACGGTGAGTTATTATTACGATAATATAACAATAATAATAATCATAGTAAATCGTAAAAATAAAAATCATCTGATCAACAATCCGTCTTGATATCTTTCAACCATCAGCCTTTCAACAGCCAAACAGTATAACAAACAACAATTTAACAATAATTAAGCCTTAATTGTGATAATATTAAATCGTAATCTCAAATCAATATAAACAATAAGAAAAGGAAACAATAAGAATCTGAAGATTCAGAAGAAAAATCAATCTGATTACTTTTTCCTTGGGAGAAATAAAAAGAATCACATTGAACAATAGCTGATGAAAACAAACTGAATTAAATTTAATCTGCTGATGGAAGGTAAAAAATGATAACAATTTATGATTAATAGCTGAAAACAATCAATTTCTTTCAACATTTATCTCAGAAACTTTGATGGGTTCAACTATTATTATTGATATTTTACTCGAAACCACTTTCATCTCATCTATCATCTAATATCCAAGTTATCCTTTTGTGTCTTTGTTTTGTCATCATTTTTTTTTATCTCCATCTTCATCAACTACGATAACTTAAATGTCATTTTGATGCAGTTTCTTTGACGATCTGATCCAAAATTGAAATAAATCAATAGAATATTAGACTTAAAGTCGAAGGTGGAGAAAAGAGTGAGATTTTCTTTCCTCTCTTCCTGTATTTCCACTAAATCCCAATCAATTTTCTGTCCGTTCTCACAATAATTCCTCATCTTATTTTGTCATCTTCTTTGTCATTCCATCTTCTTCTTCTTCTTCTTCCTTGGTCATCATCATTATCTCCTTTTGGAAGGCGTTTACTTTATTTCTTTTTCCTCATCCTTGTCATAAAAACATAAGTGATTACAGATCATTGAGCTTCTGGTCAATCCCTTTGATTCACTCCCATCACCATTTCCTGGCTTCCTGTTTATCTCCTCTGATTGTTGTTCCAGTGTTAATGTTACATTATAACTCTTATTGAATATATATTAACCTGGAATGAGAATTAAATCAGAATTAATTTGTTTACCATGAAAATGTCAGAAACAAAGGGCTCGTTACCTTTAAATTTAACTCCCTGTTAACTCCTTGTTGTTTCAATCATTATCATCTTCCAATTTACCAGGAAAATAAGTCCCTCCAGAATAATAAATTTTATCGTATGGTTTCAAGAGAAAGAAGTTTCATCTCATCAGAAACAAGTATTAGCTTTAGTAGTGGGAGAAGAAGACGAAGAAGACAAACAAAGGTAAAAAAACGATCACGAAAGAGAGAGAAGAAAAGATTAACTTGAAAAGGCAAAAAAGAGAAGGGAGTAAAAAGGAAGAAGAAGAAAAGAAGACAACAATTGAGGGAGGGAGAAAGAGTGAGAGAGAGAGAGAGAAAAGGAAGAGGGTAAGATAGTGAACAAGTGAGAAGAAAGAGGTTAGAAGGACACACAAAGGCTCAGGTCTTCAGGGAACTTTTTCTCTGTCAGTAGTTTCGAAAAAGTCTTATAAGATATTAGAACAAATCTTTTCGAAGATAAGTTTCTCTCTCTCTCACTACATTTCTCCCTCTCTCTCTCTTTCTCTTAACCCTAATCTTAATCATCGTAACTTACCAACTCCCTGCTCAGCTATCGCTTGAAACGAAGCAATATCTCCAATCGAAAAGATCACTACGAATATTGAATCGCAAGTCGATTCTGAGTAAAAAAGAAATTTTGATTTGCTTAAAGAGAGAGAGAGAAAGAAAGAGGGAGAGAGAGGGAGGAAAACAAGAAAAAGATCCAAATTGTACTAAGAGAAATCTAAGTTCGAGGTGAGGGTAAAATGTTATCACATCGACTTACAACTGCCCTGGTCAACCTGTCCACCGGAATTTCCGGAAATCCCATTGGTAATCCATCCGCTGATACTCAAGATCAGTTGTGGTCAATCGTTAACCAAACAATAACATCTTCATCAATCAACTCAAGTGAAACAAATAATATAACTTACAACTCCCTTTCTCCATCTTCATCATCATCAATACAAAATCTGTCCAATAATCATTATTCACATTTAGCATCTTCATTAAACAGTTTTGACATTAATCCGAAAACACGTAATCCCTATGGAAGTGGACCAGTTTTACCGGACGATAATGCCAATTGGGATGGACTATTTCAATTGATTGGACTTTCCCTTGTGTCCACTTTAGGCTCAATGGGAGGTATTTTCGTCATCTCGGCAATTGTTGTCATTGACACTTTCCAGGTTCGAGGTAACGTTTACCTGGTAAGCTTATCATTGAGTCATCTGTTGGTCACCATTTTGGTCATTCCTGCTTCTTGTGTCGCAATTATGGCCAATATACCCGATGACCCATCCATTTGTCACTTTCAATGGTTGGTCACCCTTTCAACTTTAACGATCTCAATAATTTCCTTCATGTTCATGTCGGTGGAAAATTTGAAAGGATTAACCGCCGTTCTTTCATATGAAAAGTGTTGTACCAAATTGCGAATAGTGTTAATTGTGATTATAATCTGGCTTTTCGGCCTTGCGTTACCATTAACTCAACATGTCAACTCTTTTGGACCTTCAGTTTGTTCCGGTGATCGTATTTCCTATTCAACCATTGATCCAACTTATCATCTTATTGTGTCCATTTGTCTTTTTATATTTCCAACGTTGGTCACTTTGTTGTGTTTTACTCGGTGTTTTTTCATCACCAAATGGTTACGTTCACAGTTAGAAATCAATCCAACGGAAGATCCTTGGGCTTACATGTTAACTGATGAAAGTTTGCTCAAATCAAACATTTGCGTTTATATATCATCATTTTGCATGTGGACACCATTGATTATCACCTCAATTGTTAATATTTACTCACCAGTGGCTCAGGAATGGCTCAATTCAACCTGGTATTTGGCCTTAAGCCATTCATGTGTTTACAGTTTTCTTTACGCAGCAACAAATCGTGACTTTGCTGAAGCTTTTTTCAAACTCTTCTATTATTGTTGCTGTAAATCTCATGTAAATTGGGCACGGAAAGGGTGTGGTCCTCGTCGTGGTCCAAGTTACGATCCAATGGGACTGAGAGTTCATATAATTCCAGGTCTTAACATGTGCTCACAAAGGCGAGAAGGCGGTTCATCAGGTGGATCTGCTGTTGGTGGTGGATCAACAAGCTTTTCAACAAGATTAACTTCAAGTGGAGGTGGAGGATCAATGGGAGGTGGTAGTTCACTTGGCCATCATTCAGGAGGTGGTTTCTCATTTGGAGGCCATGGAAGTGGAAGTGGTGGCGGAGGTGGTAGTGGGTTCGGTCATTCAATCGGTGGTTCCTCTTGTACCAGTGGACCTTTTGCCAGATCATTCCAATCGGCCAGAGCTTACAGGACAACGGGTGATCTTTAAATTAATAACACTAACTAATAACTTGACCATTAAATTATTTATAAGCCAAAAAAGAAAAAGAAAAAAACTAAACTAATTAAAACTCAATAAGAAAACAAATGAAAAAAAGTGATTGGTCCGAACTCTTGATTAGATCAAAATTATCCATTAGATGACATTGAAACTCTTTGACCAACTTGACCCTTTTTAAAGTAAATTTATTTTTCTCCGTAAAAAAATTTTTCCTCTCCTCTTAATTGTTTTCATTTTGTTTTCTATTATTAAATTGTGACAATTTACTAAATCATTCTCATAATTAGAATATAATTATTTCCTTTCAACCAAAATTCTCTCAATCAATTAACTTGGATTCCATTTTATTTTCTGTTCCTTGTTAACCAATTTAATGGATTATTTTTGTTTCTCCTTGACTGTTGTTATAATATTTCTCCTGTTGTTGTTAATTAAACACTAATTAACTAAATCCTAGCAATTAATTTCCTCCAGAATTGGCCCAGAATTTTAAAGCCTCAAGGAACCAACAAATTTAGTGTTATATTAAATACCAAAGAGTCACAACTTTGTTTACCTGATTTTTTCTGTCCTCCAACAACAAGAAAAACTGTCACAATTTAATTCCTTCTTTGTGATGATTATAACTTTTTCCATTTTCTATTTTATATTAACCATCATTAAATTTTATTCTGTTAATCGTCAATTACCATATTTACCTGACACAATTAAAGGGGAAAAAAAGGTAAACAATTAAAAATGAGAAAAGGATTAAAGTTAAACGAGATGATCAACCAAAACCAATCTCCATTTGCTCATCATCACCTTTGTTTACATTACATTTACATTGTTACTTGGAAACAATTTTCATCAACTTCAATTATCCTCTCCATTGATTAACTTCATTGATTAACCTGCTAATTAATTGTGGACCATATTCATAGAATAATATTAAACATTGTAAGATGATAAGTACTATGATAATATTATGATAACAATAATATATGAATACTAAAGTAAAAGGAGCCATTATTTTAGGTGGAACCTCGAGTATCGAGTTTACATTGTTTGCTTTATTTTTCTTCTTCTTCTTTTTCGTCCAATTTTCTCTGTCTATTATTTTATTCCAGATCGAAAAACTATTATTACAATAATATAATAATAATAATATAATATAATATAATATTCTCTCCATACTAATCAACATATTCTCTGTATAATTTAATTTACTCTTCTATCAATTGTCTTTCTTTTCTACTGTCAACACTTAACGTATTATATGTTATATCCTTTTCTCATTAAATGTTTCACTTTTACTCCATTAACATAATATTACCTAAAAGTATTAATATCAATTAATATTAACAATTATTCCAACAATTTAACTTTGATTTATTTTCTATTTCCATACCAATATAAATCTTTATTAACTTAATTGTCTCTCTCTCTCTCTCTCTCTCTCTCTCTCTCCAAAGATTCAAGTAACAAATGAAGAGAAACAATCAATTTAAATGATTAAGTAAATTGAGAGCGAAACTTTTACAATTTAATTAACTTAGTTTTTTAGAATATACAATCTAATTGTCCATTTAAATGGATTAAATTAACTCATTGTACATGTTAATTAATGTATCTCTTTGCCCTTTGATAAAACTAAATGATTACAATTAGTTAATTTGGATTATCGGACAGTTTTTTGTTGTCCCTAAATAACAATTAATCCAATAATCAGGGGGGGAAATCAGTCCATTGAATTGTAATTAATTGTTAACCTAAATTGTGATATTTATTGTCAATGGAATCAACAGATAATAATTTGATTAATACAAATAAACGAAAATTGGTTTATCATTGATTGGATTTGATTGGAATGATAATTAGCTGATTCAAGCTTAATTTTGTTCTGTTAATCAGAAACATGATCATAATCACCTAATGATAATTCAATCGGATCAAGTTAATCAGCTGAATTTGCAAGAAAATCGTTGAGAAAGTCAATAATGATCATTAAAGATAATCAACAAATCAAATTACGAATCGATGATAAATTTCAAGTTAATTTTTTGCCTCCAAATGATAATCATCATTATTGATTATTAATGACAATCATTATGATATTAAATATATAATTTGATTTGAAACGAAAATATTGAAAATTATATCGGTAAACACATAACAATTTAATGATTACTAAGATCGATAATCTAATCCAATGATTAAACATAGTCTATGAAAACCATTTAACGTGACAATTTAACTGTCTAATTTAAATTGGCAAGAATATATCATGAAACTAATTAAAGGTTAAGGTAATAATTTATTGGTAAATATTAACAAGCAACAACAATAAACAATCAATAATCAACTGATCAACCTAACTGATGAATACACTAAACTCAATCAATCAACAATCAATTGAAAGTTTAATCAATCAAGTCGATGAATAATTTTCAATCACCAATCAATTATCCTTAATAATTGAATGTTTAAATACAGAATAGAGAGTAAATTGATCATGTACAATGAAGACAATCAGTAAATTGTCAGCAACAACCAACCAATCAATTGGAATATAATTTGTTTAAATAAGAAATAATTTCAATCTATTGTCATCATTTTAATGCTATTCTCATGTAATTCAATCTTAAATTCAATTCATGATCAGAATGAGAACCAGAATCACAATAAGATGATTTATTTACTCGGTGAATCTGTTTTTCCTCCATGTTATGAGTACCCATTAAGTTTTTCCAGTTGATGTCAGATTAATCAGTTCTGGGTTCATGGATTCTCATGATTCTTTTACCTTGAGAATCATCTTACTTATTATCTAATATAAGAAATAACCTCATCCAACAGGAAGAACATGATATTATTTTTCCATCTCTTGATTCATTCTGATTCCAACTGAATTCATGTTCATGTTCATGTTCATGTTTTTTTCTTCTTCTTCTTCTTCTTGTCAAAAGGTTGGTAACTTTTCACTTATTGAACATTTTGGTGAGGAAAATGATTATTGGTGATAAATTGTTACCATGAATTACAACTGAATTAGTTGATTACTTTATTTTTTACACACTCGAAATTCAATGACAATATAACCTTTTTTTTTCATCTCTATTCTTGTTTCCCTATCAACGGTGATCATCCTATTTATTAATTGTCTTAATCATGATCAATGTTAAATCGTAAGTTTTAACCAAACAGACTAGTTAATTATTCAGTTTGTTTGTTGATTAATTTACTTGTTTCATTAATAATTTAATAGTTTCAATGTAAATTATTCACATGCTTCAATGATGTTACCTGACTTTCAACTTATAATTTAATTAACTTTTTGCATTTTCTTAATCATTTTGATTTCAATCCATTATCTTGATTATCACTCATTCAAATAATCAAGTTAATTGTGAGTTTAATGGGATATTAAAAAATAAATGTCCAAATATTTCAACAATTAATAAATTGTTAATGATCAACATCAACATTCAGTTTAACTTGAAGGAAGCTTGGAAAACCTTTGATTGATTGTAATTAATTGTTTACAATTTAAAATGAAACAGGAAAAAGGTTGTTAATTGATTGTCGAAAGTTAATCAAGTAAAATAAAATCGATTAATTTTCAAACTTTCATTTTTATTATTATCGATCCAATAGAAAACTCATTTTTGAAGATGAATTTTCTTCCTCCAATTTGATGATATTTTCCCCGGAGGCAAATTGATTATTTTCTAGTGTTGGTAATGGTTTTGATGGTAACAATTATGATTAAGGTGGATAAATGAGAATGATGATTAACTTAAATGCACTTGTATCAAGAGGCAATCGGAAATTAAAGTTAGTTTAGGAATTTTTTATTCCAAAATAAGATTCATCATCAATCTAGTTAATGTATTTATCGATATTTTCTTGCTGATTTTTGTTTGATTTTCTTCACCGGTGAGAATATCCCCCGAGGGAAAATAGAGAAAAACTTTTTTAATAACAGTTCTTTGTTTACAATCTTCGAACGTGTAAATATCAAGTTCTAATGTTCGAAAGAATTTTTTAAAAAGATCAACACGTTATGAGAACTTTTAATGGCTCGATTGGTGGAAATTAACTTTTCCTGTAATCATTAAGTATAATTTCCAATCCTATTTAAAGTCTATTCGAACCTTTGACTTTTTCGATTGAAAACTGATCGTTCAATTTATCAAATTGTCTAATTCAAAGATTTTGTCACAACTTATTTCGTCATCGATTCGATCAAATTGTAACTCGACTGGACGGATGATAACAATCGACGAGAAATCTTTAATCCAAACTAATCCACATTAGAACAGAAAAAGAAAATAATAAATTACCAATTTCGTAATAGAATAAAATTTTGAACTATATTGTGATTATCGTGATTAGGATTCGGAAAATTTAAACAAAATCCATCTAAAGTCTGGATAATTGTTCAGAACTTATCATTTTAGAAAATTGAATTTTCTTTTCTTTGTCAATATTCAATATATTTTGGTGGGAAAATGGCCTCAAGTAGAAATACAATTGATGCTAGGATTGCAAATAAAAAGACGACAATCAACAATTCATCAAAATATTCAAATGTCAATGGAGTTATGATAATATTTTCAACATTAATCTCTGATTGAATACATTGACTGTAGTAACTTGTGAATCCAAGACATTCAAAGTCGATCCGTCGAGTTACATGATTATCGTAATTTGATGATTCAAATGCTCGATATGCAAGTTTAGCTGCCGTTTCGCTTATTTCGAGTTTGGTTGACGAACCGGTCGCAAATAAGAAAAGTAAATGAAACATTGAAGCCTGCGAAATATAAATTACCTCCGAATCAGATACTGTACATAGTAATCCTTTCAATAGAAGGCCAGTATGTTTAGATGCGATTATAACTCTATGGTTATCGGAAAGAGCTTTGATGATCGATCCTGGACTTAGCCTTTCAATGACATCCAGTTTCGCACGAATCTTTTTAAGAAATGTAGCATTTGACTGTTCAATTGAATATCGACAATGTAAGGTACCAAAAGTTGTTGGAATATACTTGTGGATCAGAATTTCTTGAAGTGTTTCAATGGGTTCAAAATCGCTTGATCTGATCAGACCCGTTTGTAGCGATGTGATGAATAGAGTGGATATGATAAACCAAAACAGCGAGAAATTAAGACCATACAAAGAGGTGGAATTGATTAAGGGTATAAAGTCGGAATTAAATGCAATTCCAAATAGGTTCCAAACTGTCAGTCGATTAGGTGTATCAATCAAGTAACGATTAGCGGAAATTAGGATTAAAATTAATCCCAAACAGAATAGAACTGTAGTAGTTGCAACGGGATAATCGATTCGTTCATCGGGATCAAGGAAATGTTCAGATCGAATGGCAACTTTAATATCGGGAGTGTTTATCAGGTGACACTTGTCTTCCATTATTACTGGACCAAGGGTAATGTTCACTGGTAAGGTTGCAAATTGACCTTTCGATATTTGATCAACGAAATCAACTGTACCCGTTTGTAGATTTGCAAGTGACCCGGTACAAAGACCGTCGTCATTACAAGAGCTGGAACGAGATCTGCCCAAAGAAATGAAAGTTACATTGAACTTACGGAATAAGAAATAAAACTGAGTAAAAAGATAGGGCTTAAGAATACCAGATAACTGGCCATTCGACTCGACATAAAGATATGGGGCACGAGAGGTCACACCGAAATTCAAAGGTAATTTCATCTTCTATTCTTTTTGAGGCAAAAAAAAGAAAAAAATACCGATTTCGAATATTTAATATTCGAGATCGTCTCAGTTAATATCTCAAAATTTAACTCGAAATTTAACTGAACCTTATTATTGATCATATTTCACTTGTAGATAATTAAATGTCTCAAGAGTTACGAAAATTAATGAGTCGAAACTCAATTATTACAACTAAAGTATAAATTGTTGATTTATTGATGTTTATTGTTGAGAATTAATTTGTTTCTCCTCATTAATTTCATAAAAATATCAAAATAAATCATAAAGTGACCTCGAAATCTTAATGTCG